AAGAAAAATGATAGCAGGTCTGTCTCTCACAGGTCCCTTGCATGACCATAGATGTTCTTGCACTGTTGTGTCTCATGCCATTAACAAACTGGGTAACTCAGGCCTGTTTTGGACACTGTACCACACCAACAGCCCCTCAGGACTTCCTTCAGTCCTTTCTCTGCCCAGTGAAGCTAAGGATCTTTTAGTCTCACACCTGTCCAGTCAGGTCTGCAGAACACAGCAGTAGCAGCTGCTGCTGTTGTTCAGTGCCATCAAGTCGCAGGCAACTCATAGCAACCCTATGAGGGAGAGTCCTCAACACTTGTGTGTCTCTCATCCTCTCTCCAGGTTTATAGGGTTTCCGGAGGCAAGCTATTACAGAAGCGGATGCCGGCAGTAACAGCTACTAGGATTTTATTCGAGATCCAACTCATGAGCTTGCATCAGATCCACCCTCATGAGAATTAAGCTCAAGAAATTAGGTTTTGGCCATGCTTCCACCGCACCCTCAACCCTCTAGGAGATTCTGGTTAGGCTCAAGTTATAGCCAACACTAGGGGTTTGTCCCCATGGCTTGTCTTTTAAAGGTGGCTCAGAAAATAGCTTTTTTTCCCTTTTGTCTTTTAAAGAAATTTCTATTTTATATTAGTTTGCTTACAAAGTTCATATACCTTGTGCTTCACACTATCCTTCATTCACATTGTGTCTCATACAATCATTCCCATTCATTATGTGTTATAAAATTAATCACCATTGACTTATTCCCACTATTACCCTGTCTTTTCAGATCCCCCCTCCCCGATCCTTCCCATTTCCTTTACCACCCGTTCCCTCCACCTTCCATATTGTCTGACTCAATAATTTCCCCCCTGCCCATCCCCATCCTCACTCCTCTGCTCCCCTCCCCCCCTTGGATCTTTTTACACATTTTACTAGTTATCTTTCTATTTCTACAATAACGGTCTTATGCAGTATTTGTCCTTATGAGACTGAGTTAATTCACTCAGCATGACACTCTCAAGTCTCTCTGAAGTTATGTAGTGATTTTCAAAAATATTACTCCTAAGTGTTGCATAGCATTTCATGGTGTGAAACTACCACAATTTCTCAATCCATTCAATTGTGGTTGGGCATTTGAGCTATTTCATGTTCTTTTATTATTTATTATTATTATTATTATTGTTTTGCTTACAAAGTTTGTGTACATTTTATTTCACATTATTCCTCATTCACATTGTTTCATACAATCATTCACATGCATTATCTTTTATAAAATTAATCACCATTGAACCTTGCCCATCATTACCCTGTCCTTTCACCCTCTACCCACCAATCTGTGCAACCTTGTGGTTTCACCTCTATCTATCCTCACCCCTCCACTTCCTCCTCTTCTTTCTTTAAGCTCCCATGAATGTTTACTTACGATTTTTACAATAATGATCTTATGCAGCATTTGTCCATATGAGACTGAGTTCATTCACTCAGCATAAAGCTCTTCAGTCTCTCCCAAGTTATTTTTTCAAAAGTGTTGCTCCTAGTGGTGTATAGTATTCCATTTTGTGTAGCACAATTTCTCAATCCAACTGACACGTGAAAAAATGCTTGAAATCACTGGCAATAAGAGAATGCAAATGAAAACCACAATGCGATACCATTTCACCTCAGTAGCAGTGGCAAAGTTTAGTAGGGCAGGAAACAATAAATGTCGGAGAGGATGTGGAGAGGTGAGAGCTCTCATACTATGTTGGTGGCATTTCCTCAAAAGGTTGAACATAGAAACTCAGTATGACCTAAATATTCCACTGCTAGGAATATGTTCCAAGAAAATTAGAACTAAGACACAAATGGAGATTTGGACACCAACGTTTAAAGCATCGTTATTCACCATTGCAAGAACATGGAAGCATCTCAGATGTCCAACCACAACTGAATGGAAATAGATTTTCTGAAGTGAACTGAGGAAGTTAAGTTACATAGCTAGCACATCTGTCCAACATACAAGAGATCCTGGCCATGTTGGAAGGAAATAGAGATGCGAAGAGAAGAGGGGATGGACCTGGCTTTTATTTCACTTTTTGTCCCCAGGAGAACCTGGTCGTAAAAAAAGTAACTGGATTAAGGAAAAGGGAAAATACTTTGCAAAACACTGAGTTCTTTACACTTGGAGAAATTATGACCATTGCCTCATTTTGGAAACAAGGTCACTTTTATGGCATGACTACAGGAATAAAAATAGCTATAATAACAATCGTGACAGTTATTGTCTTAGAGCTAGTTCCCCAGAAGCTGAGTCTGAGAGGAGGATTCCCGGGGACATATGTTTTCTTTGAGAATGGGCTCTCAGGAGACACCCCCAAAGGATGGGGAAGCAAGGTGGCAAAGAGAAGCCAGACAAGCAGCCAAGTACAGATGCCCTCGCCCCTTTCTACCAGATCCTGACAGGAGTGCTGGATACACAATGCCTTGGGGTTTGCCTGCTCTCAGACGAGGGAGTCAGGCTTTTTAAAGGCCTTTCAGTGACTGACTACCTTAAACCACACCTGGCACCTGTGCAGGTGAACCAATTTCAGCCCCAGAGCAACCTTTGAGGAAGGGCTCAAACCCCTTCCTGTGGGTCCCATGAGTATCAGGTGAGAACTATGCCTCAAAGAAAGCATTTTCGAAGGGCCACATCCTCAGAAATAGGTTGCCAGGTCTTCCTTCTGACCCCCTCCTAGATGAACATGAACCTGCAGCCTTTCAGTTAGCAGCCAAGAGTGTCACCCTTTGCTCTACTCAGGCACTAAAGAAGGATTTTGCTGCAAGTTTTTTAGCAATAGACCATAAATGGGCTGGTGGAAGGGGCCCTGGAACTAGCAAGTGAGTCCTGGAGGGTTTGGTCAAATCATTGACTTTTGCTGTCAAAACTCATTGCCGTTGAGAAGGAATTGACCCTCCAGCATGGTTTTGAAGGCTATGTATCACACAGGAGGAGAGCAATTGATGGATTTGAACCACCAGAGAGGTTAACAGCCTTTGAGTTAGCATACAACTCTCTAAGGGCTGCACCAGCCTTTTTGCTGTTGTTGCTGGGTGTGGCCATGTGGACTATGACTCATGGTGACCCTATGAACAACAGATCTGAACCTTCCCTTCCTGTACCAACTTCACTGTCTCAGACGGGCTCACGTGGGTTGTAGCAGCCATTGTAGCAATCCCTTCTGATGAGCGCCTTCCTCTCTTTATCTGAGTCTCTACCTTTCTCATCACGATGTTCTTCTCCAAGGACTAGTCCTTTCAGAAGATGCCCAAAGTATGTGAGATGAAGTTTCGCGATTCCTGTCTCTAAGATACACCCTCGTTGTCCTTTCTCCCAGAGAGCCTGTTGCTGTTGCTATATTGTGTCATCTAGTTGACTATAAGAACTATAGTCTATATAGACTATAAGAACAATGGTTTTGGACCTTGCTATATCCTGAGCCAACATCACCATCTCAGACTGTTGTTGCCATTAGGTACCATTGAATCGAGTATGACACATATCAATCATATGAACCACAGATGGGGACCCTGTTCTATTCTGTGCCATCCTCATCATTTCTGAAACACATGCACCCTTTGCTACAGTCACTGTAAATCTGTCTGATTGAGACTATCCCTCTCTTTTGACAACCCTCCGCCTTTCCATGATGTTCCTCTCCAAAGAATAGCCTCTCCTAACAACATACCATAAGTATGTGAGATAAAACTATGGTTGTTGTTGTTGTTGTTATGTGCCATTGAGTCACTTGCAACTCGTAATGTATGAGATCCTGCTCTAATCTGTGCCACTCTTATTGTCTCTGACATATCTACCCCCATTAACCCAGCGACTGAATCAATCTATCTCATCGAGGGTCTTCCTCTCCTGTGCTGTCCTTCCACTGTCTCAGGCGTCATGTCCCTCTCCAAGGACTGGTCTCTCCTTACAACATGTCCGAAGTATGTCAGATAAAGTTTCAGAATCCTTGCCTCCAAGGAGCAGCCTGGCTTCACCCTCTCCAGGAAGAACCTATTCCCCTAGCAGTCCATGGTATATTCAGTACTCTTCTCCAACATCACAGCTCAAAGGCGTCAATTCTTTTTCTATCATCTCTAGTCATTGTCCAGCTCTCTGATGCATTGTAAGTAATTGCAAAGACCATGGCCTGGATCAGGCGCACCTTAGTCTCCACGCTGTGGTAACTACCCAAAATTCTTGGTCCTTGACAGGCACTAGTCTTAGGACTTTTTTTTTAAATTCAGTCATCTAATTCATTTTACACACTAGAAGCCTGATGCTAAGAAAGATTAGGTATAATCATACCAAGGATCTAGTTAGTGGTTGTTTTAGATTGGGCTAGGATTCAAACCCAAGAAGTGCAGTTTCCAGCCAGCACCTTGAATGTCCCTCTTGATTCTGCCATTCCAGGGTCTCATTACCAGATCTTTCGTGGGCTCCTTGCAATGATCTTTCATCAAGGGCGCGCGGGTAGTTCTCTAAATCTCCGGGAGATCTGAATGAGACTTGTGAAGAAAAGGGAATTTTTTATCAACTGAGAGTGGAAAAAAAATCTCAATATATGTGCTTAATTAGGTCAGATACCCATTTTCCTCTGAGTCTTTTCTACTTCTTTGAAGTCATAGGAAGCCTTGGGCATTGGAGGGGGGTGGGGAAGTGCAAAGAGAATTGAGAGGAAACCTCCAATGTACACATGAAAAAAAAAATCAATCTGTCAATCCTCTTTAAAGGTTGAATGCAGATGAAGTTAGCTATCAACCTTATCAACATAGGGAAAAATATGCTTAAAATAAAACTAGGGCAGCCCCCTAAAGGAGGGAGCACTTGGCTTCAATAGGAAGATTTTACTGAACTTGTTAAGAGCCTCATTTCCCCCTTACTAAAATATGAAACTTGTTTACAGTCAATCCAAAGACTCCTCGGTGATTTAGATAATTTAGGTAGAGCAGAAGACTAAAAATAAAACATAGATTTGAAATTTTCAAAGGCGATGTGAGGGCTAGCTGTGGAGGAGGAGGATGTACTGGGGAGGAAGCATTAAAGGAGAGTCGTAGGTCTTGGCTATGCAGCAAGCCGGCACAGGAATCCAGGGCACTGCAGCACGGGGATCCAGGGCACTGCAGCACGGGGATCTAGGGCACTGCAGCAGGCAGGCATGGGGTTCCGGCTCTGCAGCACGGGGATCCAGGACACTGCAGCAGGCAGGCACGGGGAGCCAGGGCACTGCAGCACGGGGAGCCAGGGCGCCGCAGCAGGCAGGCATGGGGTTCCAGTTCTGCAGCATGGGGATCCAGGACACCGCAGCAGGCAGGCACGGGGAGCCAGGGCACTGCAGCATGGGAGCCAGGGCGCCGCAGCAGGCAGGCAGGGGGATCCAGGGCACTGCAGCAGGCAGGCATGGTGATCCGGCTCTGCAGCACGGGGATCCAGGGCATTGCAGCAGGCAGGCATGGCGTTCCGGCTCTGCAGCACGGGGATCCAGGACACTGCAGCAGGCAGGCACGGGGATCCAGGGCATTGCAGCAGGCAGGCACGGGGATCCAGGGCACTGCAGCAGGCTGGCAAGAGGATCAATTCTGCAGCACAGGGATCTAGCAGTACTTTCTGTGATGTAGATTTTCTCCATACACCGTCCTGTACAATAACCTTTAGCCATGTGGCCCATTGAGCACTTGAAATTGGCTAGTGCGACTTGATGAGCTGAATATTCACTTTTATCTAATTTCAGTTACATTTAGATCAAATACCATACATAGCTAGAGGCTAGTGAATTGGACAGTTCAACCCTAAGATTTAACTGTAGCTGCTATGTGCCATCAAGCCACAACCGACTCATATCTGACCCTCCAACTGCTTTTCAGAGACTGCAGATCACTTGGGAAGAGGCATCCCACCTTTCTCCTGTGGAGCAACTGATGGATTAGAAAATTTTGTGCCTTTGAGGTGACAGCATGAGTCCTTACCTCTAAATGACTATGTGTTTAAAAAGTAATTTTTAAAAACCCAACAAAAATCCCTAAGAAATGACCTATCTGTCTCATGTCTCTCCCTGTTCTAGTGGTTCATTACACAGAGGACCCAAGCACGTCAGATAAAATTTGCTGCTATGTGAATGGGGGACTCTGGCATATGCGTGCCAGGGTAAAGCTGAACTCCAGAGAGTTTTCAGGAACTATGTTTTCCGAAGGTAGATTTCCAGGCCTTTCTTTTGAGACACATCACTGCATGGAGTTGAGGTGTTAACTTTATAGGTGTCAGCCAAGTGCATTGACCATTTGCAAGTCCACCTAGGGACTTCTGTTACACAACAGATCAGTTCACAACAGTGGCTTTAAGTAAGAGCCTTTGAAGTAGCTCATGATTCTGGAGACACACACACACATACACACACACGGAGGGAGACACACACACACGGAGGGACACACACACACACACACACACACACCAGGGAGGATGGAAAGGAGGGGGGGAAGGGAGCGAGGGGGGTGGAGAGAGAGAGAAGGACAGAGGGAGAGATGCTTAACAGGGCACTTTGGCCTTCAAGTGACTTTGAACTGCCAGTATCTCACATTGTTGTAATCACTTACCTGTATGTGTCACATAAGGACTTCTTAGCTTGAGCTTTTCACATGATGGCTCAGCAGGGCTTCAAGCAAAGGAGCATTAGTGCCCAAGGCCTGTTAAGGTCTGGTATCGTAACTGGTCCACTCCTGCTTCTGCTGCATTCCATTGGACAATGTAAATGGCAAAGCCACCTCAGGTTGGGTGGCAGGAAATAGCCACACTTCTTGATGGGAGGCTCTGCAGGGAGATGACAAGGAATGCAGAGATAGGGACACTTGTGGCCATTTTTGTATTTTACTTCAAGGGTAGACCTGTAAGGCAACATCATGATAACTGAAGAAAAGATTGAAGTTGCCAAAGACTTTGGTTTACTTGGATCCACAGTCAATACCCATGGAAGCAGCAGTCAAGAAATTAGCACTGAGGGAACTCTGGTGGCATAGTGGCAAGAAGCTGCACTGCAATCCCAAAGCTGTGCAGTTTAAATCCACCAGATACTTCACTGGAGGAGGGAAAATCTCCTCCTTTGCCAGTCGGATCTGATTCGTTGGCACACAGCAGGGAAAATAAATAAATTAAATTAAATTTAAGAAAAAGAAATCAACAATGATTTACACTGGGAAAAGCTGCTGTAAAAGACCTCTTCAGTGTGTCAAAAATGAAGATGTCATCTTGAAGACCAAGGCACACTTGAGCAAAGCCATGTTCATTTCAATAACCTCCTATGAGCGAGAAAATTAGACAATATGTAAGGAAGACTGCAGAATTGAGATGTTTTAGTTCTGATGCTGACAAACAAGATTAATTTACCATGGACGGCCAGAATAAACAAATATGGGGTTTTAAAAATTAATTTTAATGGACATTTACAGAGATTTTGGATTTCCATTCATTCATTGTCGCAATTTGCTCCCTGTCCCCCCGCCAAGTTCGCTCTTCTCTTTGAGAAGTAAAAGAAAAATTCCTTCATTGGTATACAATCCCCCTGCACCCCTCCCCCTGCTACCCCGAGTATACTCCACTCTGCAACCTTCATTCTGGACTCCTATGATAATCATAATGCCCTGTAATATATTGCTTTTGAACTGGTCTCTCCCTCAAGAAGTAGCGCCAAAATGCTCCTTAGAAATGAGGATGGTGAAGCTGCACTGCAATCCCAGAGGTGCATGGTTCGAATCCACCAGATGCTCTGCTGCAGAAGGAGGGGCAATCTCCTGTGCCAGTGGGTACACACACAAAATAATAATAAAATTTTTTAAAAAATGAGGATGGTGAGACTTTCTCTTATAGATTTTATTCATGTTTTCAGAAGGTGCTGTTACCTGGAGAAACACATCATGCTGAGTAAAACAGAGGACTCAGAGAAAACAGAGGAAGATCCTCCATGAGGTGTGACACAGGCTACAACATTGGGCTTGAACACGGTGATGGTTGTGAGACAACACAGGACAGCTCTGGTGCACATAGGGTCACTAGGAGACAGAACCCAATCATTGACGCCCCAACAACAGAGCCACAAAGGAAACGTAATAGAGCTGAGATTCTGACTCAGGTTTCTTGAATTTTAGACTAGGGCAGAGCTTTAATTTATTTCTTGGATTCTTATTCTAATGCCTGCCTTTATAAGCTTCAGTTTCTTTATCTGCAGAAAGAGTAGAAATCTGAAATGACTTCTCTGACTTTCTCTAGCTCTCAATTAGTGTAAGCTCCTTGGTGAGAGCACTGGGGAGGAACAGGCCTGGACAAGCCTTTGTAGCATTCTTCAAAAGTGCCTCTTTTTTGCAAAGAGCTGTTGGGAAGCCAGGAATTAAAAGATACTCGGCAAATGTAGGGTATTTATAGTTGAGCTTAGCCTTTTGGAAAGAAGCTCATAAAAGATTTAGTTGGAAAGGATAGAGGTTTTTCTTCCAAGGTTTTCTAATTTATAATCTACCCACTTCCCCTTCCTTTCATAACTAAGATGTATGTGAGGAGAGTAATCTAAATCTCTTACTAGTTCCAGAAGCTTGACGGAGTTTTCGTATTGATCTCCCGCTGGATAAGACAGGTCGTGCCTATCTATGAGCTGAGATGGTGGTGAAGGGCTGCTGGTTCTGCACTCCCTGCTTCCCAAGCCATGAATCTTGCAAGGTGATCCTACTGACTGGAATACTTGGGAGCAGCTCTTGTGTACGTGCCAGCCCACATCTTTGGGTGTTTGGCCAAACTACCAGCTTCCACATCTTTGTGAAAACAAGTAGGAATAAGTGGGAGAAATCTGCAGAAGAGTAGGACCTTCCAGAGGGTGGTGTTGATGCTGAAGATTAGGATGAGGATGGAGAGAGATGGGGAGGAGAGAGAGAGCGAGCACAGGGGTGGGAATAGGTGAAAGGAACAAGGAAAAAGAAGTGGAAGAAATGTATGGAGTAGAGAGAGGAAGTGGAAAAAGGTAGGAAAAGAAAGGGAGAGAGGGAAGAGTGGGGAGAAGTAGAGAAGAGGAGGCAGGGGAAGAGAAGAAGGAAAGGAAGAGGAAGGAGGAATAGGAGGGGCAAGGATGAAGAGTGAGAAGAAGGGAGGAAGAAGAGCAAGTGGAGCAAGAGGGGGGACAAGGAGAGGAGAGGGAAGCAGAGGAGGAGGAAGAGATAGAAGGGGAAGGTGTGCTGGGGGAGGAAAGCACCGTGAGGGTCTAGAGCCAGTCCCCAAGACAGACTTACCCAGGATACAGGCTCTCCCTCTGTCCAATGATCCTCCTCTCTCTGGGTGGGCCCTGAGGGTCAGCAGTGCAGTGCGAGGTTTCAGGTAAAAGGCAGAATTGAAAGTTAGCCAAGTGGAAGGAGCCCTGAATTTGTTGTTTTCTTGGCCTGCATGACTTCTATCCAGTTGCCTCACTTCTTTGTTTTCAATCCCCACCTCCATGAAAGGTTGCTGTGCAAGTGCTTTCCATGTGCGTCCCACAGGAATTTTCTCTGTGTCTAGTCTGCAGTCACATGGTTAGACTTTATTTTCACTTGAGATCTGCAGAATGGTCACAGGTACAAACCCTTAGAACCATTACACTGGGGGATGGGAACACAGAGCCCACAAAGTGTTCTATCTGCTGGTTCCATCCTTCTGTTGTTGTTAGGTTCCATTAAGTTGGCCACCACTCATAGCAACAGATCTGAAACCAGCCCTGTCCTGTGGTGCCAATCTCATCATCTCTGATACACTTGCACTTAGTGTTACAGTCACCGTGTCAATCTATCTTGTAGATAGTCTTCCCCCCCTTTCACTGACCCTCTACCTTCCAAGAATGATGTTCTTTTCCAAGGACTGGCCCCTCCTGACAACATGTCCATAGTGTGTAGATAAAGTTTCACCATCCTTGCCTCTAAGGTCAACCCTGGTTCTTTTGACCATTCGTGAAATAGTCAGTGCCAAAGTCTGTAAATTTTCATTAATAATTATAATAATAATAAAGTGAAAAACAAAAACCAAGACCAAAACGCTATAGTCTTCTCAATTACTTAAGTAGCTAAAAGCTGGACAATGAGTAAGGATGACAAAAGACTTATTGCCTTTGGATTTCCGTTCATTCAATGATGTTGCTGTTTTCCAGCACGTTGGAGAAGTCTCTGACAGCATATTTTCTCAATGCAATGCATCTTTTGATTTTCTTACTGCTGGTGCCGTGAGTGTTGATTGTGAATCCAAGTAAGATGAAATAGATGACAATCTTTATATTTTCCCCATCTGCCTTTATGAATTATCCCCAGCATCTGTCAGACAGCTGTGGCCCATGGGAGTGAGTTCTACCTGGAATGGCGAGTTCTTTGCCCACCTACCAGCTGCCCACACACACGCTACCCACTGCTGTCAAGCCAGTACTAATCACTCTTGGTGACTCCATAAGACAGAATAGAACTACCCGAAAGGGTTCCAAGGCTGATAGTCTTTATGGAAGCAGACTGCTTCATCATTCCTCCAGGGAAAAGCTTGTGGGATCGAAGCATCAACCTTTTATTTATAAGCCCAGCACTTAACCTGCTAAACCATCAGGAATCCTTATAAATGAGTCAAGCAAGGTCAGCGCTGTCCTGCCCAGCCCAGGCGGCCCACTCAGTGGCTGGGTGC